ATATATATATATATATATATATATATATATATATATATATATATATATATATATATATATATATATATAAAAATTTATGTATGCCTTAGCCCCCCCTTAAATAACTGATTTCATTTACCTTCCACTATTACGTTTTCTGAAATGACGGCCTGAAAAGAAAACAAAATAATAGGACTGACTAAAGTAATTTATCTATATATGTATTTATTTCGCTATGTGTTTGTGTGTGTGCGTGAGTGTGTGTATGTTTGTATTATTGTATGTACTTATATTACTGTGTGCGTGTGGGTGTGTTTATATATATATATAAACAACATATATGAACAAATACACACGCTCTCTCTCCCTCTCTCCCTCTTTCCCTCTCTCCCTCTCTCCCTCTTTCCCTCATTCCCTCTCTCCCTCATTCCCTCTCTCCCTCTCTCCCTCATTCCCTCTCTCCCTCATTCTCTCTCTCCCCTCTCTCCTTCTCTCCTTCTCTCCCTCTCTCTCCCCCTCTCCCCCTCTCCCCCTCTCCCCCTCTCCCCCTCTCTCCCTCTCCCTCTCCCTCTCCCTCTCCCTCTCCCTCTCCCTCTCCCTCTCCCTCTCTCTCTCTCTCTCTCCCTCTCCCTCTCTCTCTCTCTCTCTCCCTCTCCCTCTCCTTAATCATGCTGTGTTGGCCCCCTGCCCACTGTCCCAGCCAAATCTACTTCGAAATGGATAAGCCTTTGCGCCTTTCAAATCCAGTGATTTAGGGCTTAGCAAGTTTTTTAAGCCTTGCTCTCCTGTTTATGACTTTCTTATCTGTGTCGCTAGTGAGATATATGTGTGTGTGTGTGTGTGAGAGAGAGAGAGAGAGAGAGAGAGAAAGAGAGAGGGAGGGAGAAAGAGAGAGGGAGAGGGACAGAGACAGAGAGAGAGAGGGACAGAGACAGAGAGAGAGAGGGACAGGGAGAGAGAATGTGTGTTGTGTTCATGAATATAAAGGGTTATTATACATCTGTCCTATACCATTACCAGTGTTATTAATGTTACTGTTATTACAACATTTTTTTTCCGTTCTCATTATCACGTAGTAAATATCCCTTCTTCTCCAGTATTATTTTCTTTTCTTTTTTTTCCTATTACAATTCTGACAGATGTGTTTTGTGTTATTCTGTCTCCTCCCTTAAAACGTTTTCAATATTGTGCGTTGTTCATTTGTTTATCAGTCATAATCCCACCCACGCCTGGTTCAGTCATGGGTTTATCACCATGTGTTTTATTTTGCTCTGTCTCCTCCTTCCCCGTTGTGGTGTATGTTTGTCTTATAGCCAATAGGTATTTGACGATAGAAATCCTTTCAGTATGAAGGTTTGTTTTTCTTACTAGATAGTTAAGCCGGTCATTTTCTGTCAGCTTAATTCCTAAAGCTAATTTTGTACAGAAGTATGAGGAAAAATCTTTTACCTGAGGAGCACTTTTGAAGTGAAGATTTGAGTAACTTTATTGTCGGAAATAATACTTGAATCTGTTCCATCATTCGTTGAAGTTATTTCGTTATATCTATTCCATTGATATCATGGTTGTTTTGTTATATGAGATATCATTAAGTTTTGTTTTAATGTCTTGAAAAAGTTTTGCTGCATAAACTGATTATTAAGATTAGTTCCATCTGTTTCATAAGGTTGTTCTGTTCTCAGAAATATCGTTAAAATTCGTTCCCTTGTCCTCACAAATGTCCACCATCTCATCTTCAATACAGTTGTAGTAGGATTCATACCCAAGTTGTATTTATGTCGACTGTTTTCTGTTCTTTCTCTCTTTTGTTAATTTTAATGGTCGTGGATAGTGTTCCTTGTCTTCTGTGCTTCATAGATATGCTTCATTACTTCGTTCATTACTTCGTGTGAGTATAATCATTGCTTCATAGATATGCTTCATTACATCGTTTGTGAATGATCATTGCCTCATAGATATGCTTCATTACTTTGTGTGTGAATGATCATTGCTTCATAGATATGCTTCATTACTGCGTGTGTGAATGATCTTTGCTTAATAGGAACCGATGCATTTGATGTGTATTCTGGAAGAAGGGTGTGATTTATAGCTCTGAAAATCGAAATTTGTCTTTTCTACGATTTTAAGATGTTTATTGTTTAGGAAATCCTTAGGTGGAAATCTTTGCACAGTGCATGTTTGCATAGGAAAACGAACGTCATTTCTCTTTAAGTATTACCTATATATTAAGGGCTACCATTTTCTCATATGTAAGGGATAATTAGAAAAGAAAACACGCTTTAAGTTTCTCATTTTATTTTGTTTTATTCTAGAAACATCCCAGTGTAGTTGAAATTATATAAAAATGTTTTTGTTTTATATTTTTCTTCCACACGCATGCATCAACAAACGTGATCTGGATACCACTGCAATGAAACAGAACCGGAGACTCCCGGAACCATTATCGATTAACCAGTCACAGAGCCATTGACGCGTTTTATTTCATTACAATTGGCCACAGAAATCCCGTAGCCATTTTGAAATTTTTACAAAAACTTCCAAAATACTTACATAGGAAAGGTTGTTAAATGACCACGGACTTTTATTTTTCTAGAATTAGAGATTTAAGTTATCCTACAAATGGAGGCATCTAAGTTGAGATAAACCACGACTTGTGAAAAAAAAATTAGATAAATAAATAAATAAGGAAGTAAAATTACAAATGCCCAATGATAATACACTAGGTTATTCCTCACCAACGTACACATTAGTCAAAATTTGGCTAAAATCCTCTACCGACCTTTTGCACTTTGGAGAACTAAGTGTCTTTTATCCCTTAAGTTATCTTATTTTGTTTTGGTTTGGTCTTTTCATTGTATAATTTTATATATTGTTATCGTTTTATTTTATTTATTTTATTTGTATTTTATTTTTTATTTTTTTAGTCATAGGCAAATTAGGCCTCAATATTTTTTTGTACAAATTATGGATAAAATTTACACTAATCTCTTTTTCATCAAAACGAAAAGTCTCATGAATTTATGATAATCTGACGAGAATCTTCTTTACTGTGTTCTTAAAAGGTTTGTGTAAGTTTTGCTTTTAAACTAGAGTGCATGGTCGATAGATATTTATGGCATCCTGATAGATAACATACCAACATAATTGCAAGGCTGTGATTATATTTTATTTTACGTTTTTGTCCACTGAATGTTGATTTGAATCTTATCATGAAAGCAGATGGTCCGTCAGTAACTAATTGAAGATATCTGTATACACACCATCTTTGGATGCATCTAATACAACAGAATACATTTTTCCAAAAGGTTCATTGCGAATTACGAACTGTAATACTATCAGTACTAAAATTACCATCAGTACTAGTCACAACAGATGATTATGAGAATAACAATAATTATCATATTATGTCTGTAATTATTCTGATAAAAAGTCAGTCCTGCCCGACTCTGAGATGAGGAAAAAAAAAGAGAGATCATGCAAAGGGAAATTGAA